ATCAAATGAAAAAGAAATGGAAAATCAAATGAAAATTGTGATTATTGGGTAGTTTATAGGGCAGTTTATATGGATTGGTGCTAAGGAACTTAAATGAAGTTGTATATAGTAAGTAATAAGGTTGCCTTAGTATTGTAACTTAACTTACATTCCTTAACAGCAACCCAGTATAGCTGGGTTCATAGGGGTGCCTGCCGTGTGAAGCCCCATAGAGTTTTCAAGAGTCAACTCGCCAGGGGCTTTACAACCCTACAGAGTAGTTTCCATTTTCTTTTCCATTATCCACATATAACCCCAATATATACCCCTATAATCCCTATATATGGCCCTATAATATTAGGTTCAGGGAATCCCTAAACCCTAAACCGGGCCAGGAGTGGATCCAAGATCATGGGGCTGGGAAAGCTGCCAAGATGATGGAGTTGCCTGGAAGATTGTTGGAACCCTCAACCCTAAATCCTATAAACCCGAAATCCTATAAACCCTAAATCCTAAACCCTAAACCACGTGGCTGTGGGGCTTACATCGCGGAGCCCTTACTTGATCAAACGGCACATTTCCACGAAGGAACAATAATGAGGTTGGGCTCCTGCGTCTAATTTCAGGTCAGATGGTCAAGGGTTTCGGGCTCAAGGGTGAGGGAGTAGCAGTTAGAAGGGTGAGCTCAATGTTGACGGTATGGGTCTCTGCATTTGATTCGACGATGCTGAGATGCCCATCTTCTTCTGAAGCGACTTTTCTCTTGCTGGTTTTAGAGGCCAAGATGTGACAGCGCTGTCAGGGCCCTTTGGGATTGAGGACGCCATGTTGCTCAAATTGTTGGGGTCTGACGGTCACTGAGGCAGAACGTTAGTTGCCGAGATCGTGCCGTGAGTGTCGTCATGATCACGGAATTACATTCCAACCCTTGAGCTTACTATTACTATTACTATTACTATTACTATTACTATTACTACTACTACTACTACTACTATACTACAATTGTTATTACCATTAGTATTATTGTTACTATGATTGTTACTATTATTGCTATTAATAATAGCGTTATTATTACTACTAGTATTCGTATTTTGGCTATTATTGTTATTTTGTCACCCATGGCAGCGTTGTCATCGGTCCTTGGCTTCAGGATGGTGATAGATGCACCGTACACACACCCGCGACTTACACCCTGAAACCCCCAACAACTAACACAATAAGAGTGGATTCAGGTGGTAACTTAATAATATAATGGACTAGAATGTGCTATAATATACTATACTACAATAAACTATAGTACATTATAAAGTTATAGACTATAAGCAGCTTCAGCTTCGGGCCATACCATGATCCCTGTGCATTGGGTTGCCGGCTTGGATGCAATTCCCCACCAGGACGCCCAATCCTGAATCCTCAACTCTGCCCTTCGAACCCCTAAACCCTAAATTAGGTGTAAGTTTGCACTGGAGTTTAAAATGAATTATGGGGGTTATATAGGGGGTATTATGGGGGTTTACATAGGGTTTATATAGGGGTTAGGGTTTGGGGTTTCCCGAAAAGAGGGGTACCCTTTCTGTGCGCTGTACACGTTGAGCCCCGGCAGGTTAGACCATTTCATCCTCTGGGCACACCACGTATGGCCACCTGGATTGGGTTAAGCAATCCTTCTTTCAGATGGAACCCTAAACCCTCGACCCTAAATAAACCCGAAACTCCAAACCCTAAACCCTGAAGCTTCACGATCCTCTAAGTTGGGGGGTTTAGCCTTGAGAAACTCCGGGTCCTAGATGTTCGGGCTGCGGATAAGAAAGGGTACCAGGGCTTCGCGGGAAAGGGGCTTCAGTACCATTAGAGGGGTTGTAGGGATATATATGGATATTGGGATTAGGGCTTAGGGTTTCCCAAAATCAGAAACTCAGGGCTTCAGGTAGGTGCTTTACGGCTGGGTATACTGGAGTGGGTTCTAGGGTATGCTTTGTGCTTTGGATCATCGTCTAGAGCTTTCTTTGATCACAATTTCTCATGAGTAATATTTTATTTGGGGATACTATGGTACCGAGCCAACGTGCTCGGCGCCTGACTCTCATGACTGACTGATGTCCGTGAATAATACTATGGCACCCACTATAGAGTAAGATTCTATCCTCCTTTTGGGGTGCAGTATTTTATATAAGGAATATAATCTTACTAGGTTCAACCACCAAAAAACGCTATTCTCATGAGCTTCTACAGAACCCTGGAAGTTGGGTTAGCAGCCGCCTTATTGTGAAGATAGGATCCGGTTGGCTTGAGAGGTCACATTCTGGCATGCTTCCTAGCTTTAGACTGAGTTGCTGTTAGGGAACTTACTTCAAGTTACGATAATAAGGAAACTGTTGTTTACTATTTACCCATATTGTGATAAGGGCACTATTCTGAGCGCAAATGCTCTGGCTATCGTCTCAAAGATAATAGCAAATAAAGCAGCAATGGTGCACCGCTACCAATCCTGCCTGTACTTGCGTAGTGCCCAGGAGCAGCTTAGCGAAACCAGATTGAATCGCCGTTCAAAAAACCAGCAAAATGATTGACCCAAAACCCTTCAGTCGACTCGACTTTCCGGGTAGGCTTGAGATGTAAACATGGATCCTAAGGTTCAAGACATTGCCACGCCTATTCCGGGTCATTCATGCTGTTTTGTCCCGTTTTGGCCGTGTTCATGTGTCCGCAGACGGACATACAGTCCCCTTAAGTAGATAGAATATGGGGATCTTACTATAATATACCCAAAACCATATTCTATCTACTTAAGGGGGACTATACAGCCTCAAGTGCTTGTGTTCGCGTTTTGTTGCGCAGTGTTGCCGCCCCACTTCTTAGCTCTCTCATCCTTAGAATGGGTTGCTGTTAAGGAGCTTAGGGTTTAGGATTAAGGGCTTAGGGAGCTTTGGTTAAGTTATTGTGCTAAGGAAACCTTATGAGTTACTTTCTCCCCAAAGTATGGCAATTGAAACCATAAACCCTGCAAACCCTATGTACCCACATTATGGTAACTTCAGTTAAGTTCCTAAACAGCAACCCCTTTGCGTTTTAGGGTTCTAGGGATTGGGGTTCAACGGTTTTGGGTTCAAGGGTTTAGGGTTTAGGGCCATTGGTTCGTCTTCACGAGAATTCGTAGCTTCCACAAATGGGGGGACCCAAATAAATACATACTCTTGGGCTTCCAAAGTGGTATCCTTACTTCATTCAGGAAACCCCTAAAACCCTACATCCTAAACCCCTAAAACCCTAAATCCTAAACCCCTAAACCTAAACCCCTAAAACCTAAACCCCCCCAATTGTTCTCCTAAACCCTTGTGCCCTAAGCCGTGCTGAGGACAGATCCCGCCTCCCGACGTCTGGTGCGGGCTTGGAAGCCTTTCAATGGACTTCAGCTCTACGACCCGGAGGTTCTATGAGGGTTATATGAGCTACAGTCTAAACTCCTTTAAGGGGGGTTATATAGGGGAGTATATAGGGGACTACTATAGGGGTTATTAAGGGGGATGCTAGGAGTTTAGACTGTAGCTCATATAGGGGTTCTATTGGGGTTATATTAGGGTTATATTGGGGTTATGTTAGGGTTATATTAGGGGTTCTATTGGGGGTTCTATTGGGGTTATATTAGGGTTATAT